ATATGTTCAATATATATCATGTCTATAAGAAGATCATCTGTGTGATAAACAAATGCAGTTTGTTTTTTGTTTAAACATTAATCGGGCATATTGCAAATCGATTCGTTTGGCGGTTCGACTGAATAAGCTTCAACAAATTCAAAAGGAATCTGTGCCATTGTCTTAGTATACTATACGATTTGCAGCCATAAACTGGGGTAAGTTTCAATTGGCATCCGCAATCATAATAAAAGCGTTTAATATAAACATAAGCGAGCGATTGGCAAGCATAAATTGTGTATCCATAAGAGACAGAGGCACAGACACAGAAACAGAAACAGACACAGACACAGACACGGGTACAAATAGACACCCACACACACACACACAGACGCGCCTGCTAAAAGGAAGTAAACGAGAGTTTCTTACATGTGTGCGTGCGTGTTTGTATATGTAAGTTGTATGTGTGTTAAAACTCGTTCAGTGTGTCAGTGTTTCAGGCAGCAGCAACAACAACAACAGCAACAGTAGCAACATCAGCTGAGGCTGCCTTTCGGCTCGGCTGTCGCATCGCGCATACGCCGCGTTGTCATTTGTTACTTTTCTGCCCATTGTGAGTCGCGTCCATTTGGCTGCAACGCGCCCTTGGCATCGCACTCTCACATCAACATCATTATCAACAACACCGACTGCCAGTTGGTGACGACCTCAATCCCCGCAAATCCTAACGGCCATCGTTTCGCACTTGATATTGGCTATTGGCCTAGCCAGCACCCGCACCCGCACCCGCACACACACACACACACACACTGTCTACACCACCTTCATACCCTGCAATTTGTTCACAGCTGCCGCTGACTTTCGCGCCGCTGCAAATGAAAATTTGTTCGTTTGCTTTATTTCCCTTATTGTTTGTCGCTGCTGTGATGAGAGCGAGAGCGTGCTCCACTTTCAGCCCCGCCACCTGCCCGCCCACCACCCCAGCTGAACATGGAACATGTTGCGTAGGGCGGGCTTTGCTGAGGGTGAGTTCTTTTCCCACGTTCGTTTACTTTGCCATGTTTTGTTTGTCTTTGCTTCTGGCTTTGGCTTGCAGGTGAAAGTTTTTCTCTTTTGTTTTCCATAAGTTTGATTGGCTCTTTTTGTTAACTTTAGTTTGAATCATATACTTTATTTATGTATACGTATATACATAGTGTATTTATTGATTTTGTGTTATGCTACGGCTGCTACAATTGGTCTAATTTGGCTAATGACTCAATTGTCGGCCTCCCGGAGTGTTTAGCCTCTTGACTGATTGCTCTGACACATTGCTTTGGCATCTTTTGTGTTCTGCCGTTGTTATGATCGCCGGCCGGGTCTATGGCTGACTTTTTAATTTCACCATTTTTGTCTGCTATAACACTTGGCACACACCCAATAGAAAAAGCATATATGTGCCTGCATTTTGGACTCGTCATTTGTTGTTCTCGAATCGCACAACTCATTGCTGCTCAGCTCTAAAGTGCAGCAAAATAATTGTTATGGTCGCTATTGTTATTAGGCTTAGTATTAGTGAAGCCAACACGTGATATTTACAGTGGCACTATATGATGTCATTTGTCAGCACATTGTAATCCTGTCATAGGCCACCTACTACACGACTCCGCGCTCTTATCTGCTATGACTCAGTGGAAGTCGCCACGAATCGCGAGCTGTGTTGCAAATCAAATTACCTCACTGTGCGCCAACATTTGACAGGCTTCAAAACAATTCGTCATGTATTGGGGGCCAAGCAGAGTTCAATTGCATTTTCCACGCAATTAGAAATGAAGTCTCTAAATGCTCATTAGGTCAGCTTTAATATGTTGACTAGTTCCTAAGACAACTGACGCCACAAATATAGTTTTCTTTGGCCAATCCTATAATTTTAGATCTTTAGCTATTCGGATTTCAGAGACGTAGTCTGCGATAACAGTTGGCGTGAAATATTCATTAGTTCTAGGCCCCATTTTCACTTTCTCTTTTTTTGCTCATTTTTGTTTTTTGGCAAAATTTGAATGCACCGTTTTATTTATAGAGCTGTGGGTTATCGCACTCGGCCACAAACACGCTGAACTTTTCTGTGGCCGGCCAAGTGTTTTATTTTTGGGCCCAGAATTGGACGCCAAATTCTTGGCTCCCCATGCGGCTACAGGTACATAAACACTCCCATTGATCATTAGGTGCGTTTTCATTTTCGAAATTGGCTACGCATATTCCAGTTGTTGTTTTCCCAATATTTTGTTTGTGTTTGTTTGTTTGCATAGCTTTGCCGGCTGGCACTTGGAAATAGTTGAGAATTTGTTTACAATTGCCGCCTTGTGCATAATTATGTTTAATTAAACTAATTAATTTCCTATTTTGCTTCTGGTTGTTGCTTTCCGTTTTTGCTTTTTGTATTTTGCGCTCTGCTAATTAATTTTCCCAATGAATACAAATATTTGATCTGTTACTACGTGTTCACGATAATGGCAATCGTAAACGGGTTTTAATGCTCAGCATCTGCTCGAGTTTTACATGGAGGAAGCCGCCGAGCCGAGTCGTCGCATAGTCACATTGCCCACAAAGCCTGCCACTCAGCTGAGGCGCAGTCGAACGCACACAATGTCAAGGTAATGCGTGCGCGATATGTAACTGTTAACTGTAACGCAGCAGCAGCAGCAGCAGCAGCAGCAGCAGCTTCCGCCGTTACGATGACGACGATGACGACTCATTAACAGTTTTAAGTGAGACCCCAACCTCTCAGCCCAACAATATTGTCATGTGTAAATACGTCTTTAGCCCGAGCCGCGTTATGCGAGCTACAGAGTGATGTTCTTAAGGCGCGTAGTGTGACTCATTTCAGATACACAGTCAATATAGATACCGATGCTAATACAGATAGATAATCGATTATCGATAGCAGAATTTGGATCAATAACAAAATATCGATAACTGTTATCGGTTGCTGGTAATGGTGATAATCTGGTGAGGGCCAAAGATCACCGATAATTTATTATCGATAAATCGGTTATCGATCACTTCCTATCGGGTATTATTAAAATTTCGATAAATATTAACACCTTATTGACAACAAATTATTGATAACATATATATGCTATCGATAACAGATATATGCTAGCAATAACATAATATCGATGTCCGATAAAATATTATCGGTAACAGATAGCATATTATAAAAATCCGATACACACATCGTTAACAAATAATCGATAACCGATACAGATACCGATACGTTCATGTGTTGATTAGGCTAACTTATTAAACCGCCCTCGTGTGTATGCATTTCTATTTAGGCGGCTGCAGTTTTGCCATGGCCTTGGTTGCTGATAAATGTTGCTGTTGTTGCTTTGCCATTGCCGGCTTTGGCTAAACTCTTCATTGTTATCTATAAACAATTTTTTTTGCTCATAATTCGTGGGCAAACAGAACGCGTCGACAACAATTACAGTTGTCAAATATCACGCATAGATTGGGGTAAGGCAGGGGCCGCAACGCCTACACCACACAGCCCAAAATCCAGAGTCGGACGCAGTGGCACACCCAACGCCCACGCTCACGCCCAGATCACTGCTCTGCAATCGCTTTGATAATTTGAAAATCAAACATTGATTGTGGCTGTGGCTCTGGCAGCTCTATATTTCGTTTCATTTGGCACAAAATTATTTATTTATTTGCTCTTTGCCGATTGCTGTTTGCCGAATAAATTACATAGATAATTGAGTCGTTCAAGTCGAAGTGCTGCTGTCCATTTCCGCTGCACTTCATCTGGAAGTTCTTGTAATTTCATTACTCAATTTCAGGGCTAAGGGACTTACATATGTAGGTGAAGCAAAGTCAAATAAAATTTGATATGCTTTTGAGCTCACTTTACATGGAGCTGATTTTTCTGTGAATATATTTTTGCTGAATTGCAAATTGTTGGAATAATTAGTTACACATATTACAGAAGATAAGGATATACGCAGCTGAGAAACAAAGCGATGATTAAGTATAGTTATTCATTATTTACTATATGCCAATTTTGTATATATAATATATTTTATGCAGAGCACATAGTAGTGTTATCTTCTACAGTCCTCGCACACATATCTACTATAAAATGTCGGTATGCATTTGTACTCGCATTCGCATTCGGTAGCGCAGACGTCGCAGACGACAACGTCAACGTCGACGTCGCCCCAGCGTCGTCGGAGTTGTTCGGAAAATAAGGCAGTTGAAATTCTTAGCTTGCCGCGTTTAGTTCGCACCCTTCGAGGTAGTGCGGAATTAATTGATTAACTTAATTTCGGAACTATAAAAATAAAATATAATAAATTATACTATAAAATGTGTCATACATATACAAACACATACACATGCAGAGAAGTTAAGGCAAAGCGAAAATAAATCGCATTTGATTGATTGATGAAAAGAGCCTTCAGTGATAAGAAGCGGCCACATAAATAAACTATAAAATGTAAGAATTGCATGGCCCGATCGACTTTCAGTCCTATATAGACATATAGTAGCTGATATGTGTGTAAAGTTCAAGTGCGCGCACCTTGAAAACTTTGATTTTGGATAGCTTTTTGGATAGATTTCCCGCTCAGCAACCGGGCGTCATAAACCACCGCCCACTCCACCCGTCCATGGGAGACTTTCAATAAACAAAAGCAATGGCTTCAGATCATGATTACGAACGTAGTGCTAATTCATCCATTGTGATTCACATAAAAAAACATATATATATATATATGAAATCTATATAAAAGTATATAGTCTGTGGTCGGCTTGAGCTTGAGCGGCCAGGCAGCTGCTGTGCAGATAACGATGCGTCGTGTAAAACGTTCGACATCATAAATTTATTTGCATTCGATAATTTCTTTATTGTCGCCTTCGTATGTATATTTGCTGTAGAGCAAATATAAATATATCGTATAAAACATATGGAGAGCACATTACAATCTTCGGGGTGCTCGACTAAGTCACCAGACTAAGGGGAGCAGTAGAGCCGATTCATGTTCAACTCGTTGTCGATGTCGATGTCAAGAGCCGGCGTTGTCTTCCTTACAACTGTTCAAACAGATTGTGTATTTGTGTGTGTGTTTTCTTTTATATATTTTATTTAATATTTGAACTTTATTTTCATTTTGCCAACTTCTTGGCAATCATGGCGTGCCATAATTAATTTTGTTTGCATTCTACTTATGGCAATAATAACAACAACAACAACAACAGCAAATGGCGAATCAAACTGTGATAAAAACTGTAGTCTCTGAACACACGACGTTTAGGTGGGGTTACGCCGCGCTATAGCACAAATAGTAGGGTCTCTTTATGGAACCAAGAATGTAGTGAGAAGGGGAAGTCTACTAAGCAAATGCGTGATATATAATTTCTATGTTGAAGAATGTTAATCTCAATCAAGTGGAAATAAAAAAAAAAATGAACAGTTCAAACACAAACACATCTAGTGCTCTTAATAATTTACAATATCAAGTCTTACAAAAACTTATATTCTAAATAAGTCACTTCAAATTTATAATTATTTGTGAATTGCATTCATGCATTTTGTGTGATATTCAACTAGTTTAAGTTCCTTTATCCAACTTTCGTATTACCACCCACACCAGAGTAGCTAGATACATATGCACTCTAAAGGTATTTGAAACTTTGTTTTATGGTGTCTACTAATCTAATAAATCTATTTATAGTGTGATATGACTTGTTCAGCCGGATGTGATACCCAACTGTTGGCGTTTTAAATTTGCAGGGTATCTAACAAAGGGGACCTACTGTTCGATTTAGCTTTTTTCGGCCACTATAATTGATTTTTTCGGGGGCATTTTACAATTTATAGGCTGTCACGCGGTAGTATAGTTGACTTGTAGCTGTTTGATATGGCCGCGATTGTCGGCCACATGATTTATGGCAATAAATGATGTATTGCAGCCAAGTTGACGGCAATCAAACGATTGACCTCTGTTCAATCACAAAATTTTGGCACTGCCCCTAAGTCGAGTGCCTTAATTAACTAATTTACAATCGCGCGAAAAAATCAGCGATTAGTAGTAATAACTAGACATTAAACGATTTATATGCTCAAGTGTAGAGATAAAGTCGGAGTGGACACTTTAGTTGCTTATATAGAGTTTATTGATTGACCGCTGTGGCGAAATATTGATAGCCGAGGCTGACTAATAACAGATAACGGGTGTTTCCCCTCCAAAATAATTCTCTATTTGCTGGCTGTAACAGAAGGAATTGATTCCGCTCAACTTTGGCATATCTTTTCCACAAATTACTATTCAACTGGCAGCTACAGCCAATTGGCTTTAAAAGTATTGGCCGTAGATAAGCGTGGACGAGCTTTCGAAGTGTCAGGCAAAGCTATTTTGCATAGATAAGAACAAATTAAATGTCTTCTAGGCGCCTAGCTCATTACTTTTGTGTATTTTAGATAATTAGTTGTATACTGGATTCATATTTGCCTTTAGTATAAGCGAGTTTGTTTAGGCTAATATAATTTGGAGTGCTCTAGCTCGAATGCGAGGAAATGCAAATATTTGATTATTTCAAGTCATATAAGTCGAGCTCATTGATAACATATGGATGCATTAACCTCTGCCCTCTGCTTTCCAGTTGGCCAAGCGGCGGCCTGGCAATAAGAATCGCCAGCGTAGCGCACCCAGCTACTTGGAGCAGCAGCTGACGAAGAGGGAGCGCATCACCAAGTTGCCATTAGTGGGTGCTTTGGTGCATAAGGCGCTGCAGGTGCGGGACACCGAGCCGTACGAAGCAGCTGAGCCGGCAGAGCAGCAGCAGCAGCAGCAGCAGCAGCAGCAGCAACCAGAGCGGGCAGAGCAGTCACAACAAAGCGAGCACGCCGAGCAGCCGAAACAGCCAGAGACAAAAACAGAGAAGTCAGCACAGCAAGCAAACGTAGAGCTCTCCAACAACAACAACAACAACACTAGTAACAACAACAACAACAATAGCAACAGTAACAACGAGTGTAGTAAAGTCGAGAACGGAGCAAAATTAAGCTGCAGGATGGTCTTGCCTGTCGGCCTTGGCCCCGACGGCTACAACGCCGACGTCATTCAGACTGCACCGGCGCCAAGTGCACCGCCGGCCCATTTGATGGGCCCGCCGCAGTACTCGATTGGGCAGACAAATATTTACACGGGTGTGCCCATCATTGTGAATCCCTACATCGATTTTATTGTGGTCAATGGCGAGGATCGCTACATGATACGCTGCGAGCGCAAGTCGGTGCTCGAGCGCAGTGTCGAGTTGGCCAAGCTAATTCACGCCGGCCCGAATAGCGGGCGCAAAAGCGATAATCACTTTCAGATCTCCAACGTGGACAAGGCCGACTTCGAGCTGATTGTGCGCTATATGGAGAAGCATTGCTTACCCTATCGCGACCACAAGCATCTGCTGAAGATACTCGAGTTGGCGGATCGCTTCAATGTGCCCGATCTGGTGAGTAGTGGAGAGGTGTGAGAGGCCAAGCTGTTACTCTATTAATGTGTGCATTCTGTTTTATGGCCCACACAGATAATTTACTGCATTCGTGAACTTGATCTCAGCATTTCGAGTGCAACTGCCCTGGATATATACAAGGCGCTCTGGTTCTACCAGGGCATTGCGCTCACCACCCAGCACCAGACGGTGATGACCACACACAAGCAGGCGTCGAAGGCGAAGGCGGCGGCCAAGCAGGCGGCCCAGGCCCAGGCCCAGGCGCAGGGCAATGTGAATGGMGCCGAGGGTGACGGGGCACAAATGAATCTTATACCCAATCCGAATCCGTTTACCACCGAGGATTATGGCGTGGCGCTGCTGCACAACACGCTGCAGCTGATCGATATGCAAGCCGAAATGGTGCTCACCATTCCGGACATTCTGGAGCTGCGCTTCGAGGAGCTGGAGACGCTGGCCAAGCGCAACACACTGCAGCTGAGATCCGAGGTGACGCTGTTCGAGTGCCTGGCCAACTGGAGTCTGGCGGAATGCCAGCGCCGAAAGCTCGATGCCACCCCCGACAATCGCCGCATGGTGCTCGGACCGCTCTGCCTGGCGCCGCGCTATCTGCGCATGACTGCAGACGAGTTCCGCAAATGCTGCGACCGCATCGAGCTGCTGCCCCCCCTGGAGACGTCTCTTATAAGCAGAGCTCTCGAGGGTGAGTGATGGCAAATGCCATGAATTGAAATTGAAAAAATTAAAATCGCAATTCATGAGCTTAATCAACATCTCTATTTGATGGCAGGCCAAAAACTGAAGAACCTCACTGATCAGCAGTCGGAGCTGATGGAAAAGTTTCGCACACCACGCGCTGAATACGCCCGCATGCCAGTCCATCTGAGCGATCGCAGCTGCCCAAAGAACTATCCCAAGAAGATGCGTCGCGCCCATGAGGGTCCATCCACCGAGGAGGGCTGCTGGGAGAAGGTGGGCATCAACTGCCTGCGCGTGTTCGTCTGCATTTTCGATTGATCCGACCGCGCAGATGATCCTCAATAGACTTTTTTCATTAACGAACATTAGCGCTTATGAGTTACATATATA